CTGAGCCTGCCTCCCGCTGCTCCTCACCTCCCACAGAGAGGCTGGGGAGGGTGGGTCCCACCTGATGCTGTTTCCATCCCCCCACCCCACCCCATGTCACCTGGCAATGCCACCAGCACTGGCTTGCACACTGATTCATGCCAGTAAGTGGAAAAGAAGGAAACCACTTTAGAACCAAAAAGGACTAACCAGAAGGAAAAAAAAAGAAAACCCAAACCAAGTTATAACGCAAAATTACTGACACAAAGCCCCCCTCCCACCCTTCCCATGACAAAAAGCCCAGGAATTAGACTTTCTTGGGACGGCGTCCAACTTGGTAATAATAATAAATGCTGATGAGGACGAAGAGGGCTCGGCTGATGAGGAGGAGCATGGCACCCGTGGCTATCCGGCTGCTCTCGACCAGGGAGACAGTGGTGACTGGAGGAGGAGGAGGGAGACAAGGCAGAGGTTGGTGATGGGAAAAAAAACACCACACCAAATGGAGACAAATAACACAAAAGCTGTTTCCTGCTGCCCTCTAACGCAGCGTCTCGGCAAGAGCTGCCGAGCCTTGTGAACGCAGAAGCTTTCAGCACAGGCTCAGGGGCACGTCACGTTAGGTTGGTTCCTCAACCCTGAAGTCAACCACGGAGCTCGGGACCCCAGAGCTCTCGTGTTTTTTTTTGTCACCCTGCTTCATGGTCTGGAACGGGCACTCGAGCAGATACGAAGTTCCAAGTTCCGTGGTGTTAATTGGGGAATCTGCTTGCTCCTGAGTTTCTTTGTGGCTTAACCACTTCAGTGCCCATGGTTAAATGTTTTTCAACTTTAGAAATGTCTACAAAATACAGAAAGTACACACTCACACACACACACACACAAAACCTCTTTTCTCTCTATTTTGGCTACCAGCACATCACCCATATCCAAACCAGCTACTTTATAAACACAGTTGGTGAGCTACCAATGTAGATACAACAGAGCCCCCTTCATTGTTAAATATAGCTAAGCTCCCTAGAAACAAGCTGAACCGTTATTCTCTGGTTTTGGTAGGACTGAACATCCCCCCTTTTAAGTGTAGGTTGCTACAGTCCTTTCTTGCTGGCCCCAGCATGCTGGCAGGAGATGAGCTGAACTGGCTCTGAAGGGCAGGATATTTTTAGGGAGAAACACAACGGAATCGCCAGAGGGAGACGTTTCCCCTGCACCTGAGCACCCGTCAGTGAGCAGCCCAAGGCAGAGGCTGCTCGGTGGGGAAGGGACAGGGTGGGCAGCTGGCAGGGAAGATACCCCTAGGCCAGGTTATCTTCGCTGGTTCTGATGGGCAATGGAGC